GCAGGTGGGCGCCCGACTCCCTGGCCTCCGCCTCCTCCTCTGCACCTGCCCCCACACCGTCACGGCCCTGCAGGGCACGGCGGCCAAGCGGGAGGCGCTGACGCCGCGCAGGGTGGCGGCCTACGACGCGGCGCTGCGCGCGCTGCCCGCCGCCACCTGGCGCCGGCTGGGCGTGGCGGCGCTGAGCCGCGCCTGCGGGGACGCCTGCTCCGCGGACGGCGTGCACCCACAGCCGGTGGTGTTTGACGCCTTGGTGCAGGTCATGCTGGGCATGCTGGGCGTGTGATGGGTTCAGGCCGACCCATGGATGACTAAGGATGACCTCATGCTCTGGCAGAGGAGCCCATCGTGCAGTGCCTTTGTACAGGCGAAGCAAGTGCTGGTACCGTGAAAGAGGAGGAATGCCCGTGAGGATGCCACACCGTGCGATCAAACGGGACTGACACAGCACACTGAGCATCGCCGCTCCCTCAACAGCTGCTGGCAAAGGTAGGAGAAGCCTCGCACGCTGGCAAGCCAAAAAACCCATGCATCAGGGGGGGGCACTCTCCCCGTGCGTCACCCTGAAACCCTGTCGCGCACGGCATGCCGCGGCATCCAGCAGGGGGCCGCCGCCCGCCCTTGGCCCCGCACCCGTGCGCATCCAGCTCACTCTGCGGGAGTGGCCAGCACCTCCTTGAGCTGGGCCGTCTCATGCAGGCGGTTGGTGCGCCAGTGCTGCCAGAAGAAGAGCTGCTGGGAGTGGACGTGTTCCTTGTACGCTGGGTTGACAATGGCCGCCCTGAACTCCGGGCTCTGCAGCAGATCCAGCATCTTGAGGGCGTGCGGGTATCTGGAAGGCGAGAAGCATTTGGTAGGGGGGGTGGAGGGGGCCGGCGCGGGGAGCGGACATGAGCCTGGGCTCGGCCCAGGCAGCCACAGGGGTGAGCAGGTGAGCTCGCGTCGTTGAGAGCGTCGCGTGCACGGCACAATCCATGCAGAAAGACCACGGTCGACGTCTCAACACCCCTCCTCCTGCACCCCCTCACATGATGTACTGCACGTAGGGCTCCTCCTTCCAGTACTGCAGGTACCGAAGGTAGTTCAGGAAGCAGGCATCGTCTAGGAAGCGCTGCTGTGCCAGCCCTGCAGAGGGAGCGAGGGGTGCGAGTGGAATTGGGAGACCCTACCATCAGTCACGGGCCGAGCGCTAAAGGTATTGCTCTGGCCGCGCTCGAGTACTGCATACTCCTTGTTAAACCACCTCCCATTCCCCCCGCCCTCACTCCTCAACTCCTCGCCCAAAACGAGTATCTCACAGTTCAGATAGTGGGGGTTGGCCAGGCACTGCACAAACTCTAGCTCCACGGCGAAGCGCTTA